GTAAGGGGGTGGGGGGTGCAGCCCCGGCTGCCCAACTTGCTAATCCCTGAGGGAAGTGTTTCCAACCACATGGGTTTGGGGAGCCTTGCATGCGGGACTGGACTCCTGGGTCCCCCTCCTGCTCTCCCAGCCACAGAGGGCTGGGGGGGGGTGCTCTCAGGAGGCTGTGCAGGGCTCCAGTGGTGTGCCAGGCTTTGGGGTCCCCTTCAGTGTGGGGACCCTCATCTTCTGGGTACAGGGCTCAGGGCCCTTCCTCCCTCAGCAGACAGGTTCCAGCAGACTCTCTACGCCAGCGGTTCTCAACCTGTGGGTCGTGACCCCTTTGGGGGCTGTGGGTCGCGACCCCTTTGGCGGTCGAACGACCCTTTCACAGGGGTCGCCTAAGACCATCCTGCATATCAGATATTTACATTATGATTCATAACAGTAGCAACATTACAGTGATGAAGTAGCAACGAAAATAATTTTATGGTTGGGTCACAACATGAGGAACTATATTAAAGGGTCTCGGCGTTAGGAAGGTTGAGAACCACTGCTCTACGCCCTCATAGCAACCTGCGAGGTGTGTATATTATTTCCTCCTTTTTACAGATGAGGAAAAGGAGGCACAGAGAGGATAAGCCACCCCTGTCATTGACCGCAGTTGCCCTGGGAAACAGGGCATCTCCTCAGTCCCATCTGTGGTTTTTGCAGCTTCCCCACCCCCCCTTCAGCTCCTTCCTGTCCCCGTCCCCCGCCCACAGATCTGGGTTCAAGCCCCAGCCCACCGCTGGCCACCTGTGTGGTGTCAGACAGGTGGCTTCACCTCTCTGACCAGTTTTCTCGTCTTCGAGGTGGAACTGCTGAGCCCTCCCTGGGAGAGGTGGAGGGGCTCGCTGAGATAGCTCAGGTGACACACCGGGCCAGGGCTGAGCCCGGGGTGGGGGGCACCTCTCGGGTTTCGTCTCCCCTCTTTATAAATGTGTGGTCTGTGTCTCAGCAGTTAGATTTTTAGGAACAAATAAAGATGGTTGAGGGTCGACCTATGAACCAGGAGGTCACGGTTCGATTCCCGGTCAGGGCACATGCCCGGGTTGTGGACTCCATTCCCAGTAGGGGACGAGCAGGAGGTAACTGATCAATGATTCTCTCTCATCATTGATATTTCTCTCTCTGTCTCCCTCTCCCTTCCTCTCTGAAATCAATAAAAAATATATATTAAGGTGTTTATATATTTTTAGAGGTGTATATATATATATATATATAGAGAGAGAGAGAGAGAGAGAGAGAGAGGTATTTGTTCAAGGATGGCTATCCTGTAGTTAATAGAAGAAAAAGAAAAACTGGAAATAATAACCTCCTAGAGGAGGTTAAATATAGGGTGTCCCCCCAAAATGTATACACACACACTCTGAACAATTATAAAGGCGGTGTTTATTAAAGTACATTTCATTTTCAAGATGGAGCTAGCAGCTGTTACAGTGTGTATACGTTTTTTGGTACACCCTGTAGATTCCCGTGCATTCACATCAGGGAACCCCCGGCAGCTGCGAATTTTGCTGCCGAAGGTATTTATTCACCTGAACAGATGTCCCCTTATGTAATAATAATGCCGTAATGATGGTGGTGACGGCTCGCGCTTACATGGCATCTGCCATGGCCAGGCACAGTCCAGAGTGCTTTCTACGTAGTCGCTCACCATCATAACCACCTGTGAGGTGTGTTCGATCATTTCCTCCTTTTACAGATAAGGAAAGTGAGGCCCAGAGAGGTTAAGCAGCTGGCTAAAAGTCACACAGATGGCCAGCAGCGGCTGGAATGTGAACCAGGGTCTAAACGATGTTTCCAAACAGAGTCTTGTTGCCCTAAGTGGTTTGGCTCAGTGGACAGAGTGTTGGCCCACAAACTGAAGGGTCCCGAGTTCAATTCCCATCAAGGGCATGTGCCTTGGTTTCAGGCTTGATCCCCAGTAGGGGGTGTGCAGAAGGCAGCTGATCAATGTTTCTAACTCTCTATCCCTCTCCCTTCCTTTCTGTAAAAATCAATAAAATATATATTTTTTTAAAAACGTGTTTTGTTTTTTATCTTTTTCAGTGTATAGATTAGCACTGGAAAAGGAGTCAAAGGAGATAATTAAAAAATGTTAACAGTGGTTTTCTCTGGTTCATAGGATTCTATGTGCTTTTCACTTCTTTTTGCTTTTCTGTTTTTCTGATTTTTCCAGTGAGCGTGTATTACATGAAATTCAAGTTTTATTTTTTTATTTAAATATAATTTATTGATTTTTTACAGAGAGGAAGGGAGAGGGATAGAGAGTTCGAAACATCAATGAGAGAGAAACATCGATCAGCTGCCTCCTACACATCCCCTACTGGGGATGTGCCCGCAACCCAGGTACATGCCCTTGACCAGAATCGAACCTGGGACCCTTCAGTCCGAAGGCTAATGCTCTATCCACTGAGCCAAACCACTTAGGACCAAGTTTTATTTTTTGAAAACTGAAAAGTAGCAGATGTGTAGGGGGAAGTGGCCAGTGCTGGGGTTCTGATGAAGCCACTCCATGGGAATTCTGAAGAAGCGCACAGTAGGGGCGACTCGGGAAATGCTTCACAGCCAAAGGTCTTGGTGTCAGAGGAGCCGGGATTGCGTGGAAAAACACAGGCAGCAGCGACCTCCAGACAGAGGAATTCAGAACCCCTCGCCCCCCTGCCGTGTGAGGAGGCTTTAGGATACCTTAAACCACTTACTTCACTTATATTTTCCTTTTAAAGAATTCACAAGAGCCCTAACTGGTTTGGCTCAGTGGATAGAGCGTCGGCCTGTGGACTGAAGGGTCCCAGGTTCGATTCAGGTCAAGGGCATGTATCTTGGTTGCGGGCACATCCCCAGTAGGAGGTGTGTAGGAGGCAGCTGGTCGATGTTTCTCTCTCATCGATGTTTCTGACTCTCTATCCCTCTCCCTTCCTCTCTGTAAAAAATCAATAAAATATATTTTTTTAAAAAAAGAATTCACAAGAGTGGTAAATGCTTTTTAAAATCTGGGTCTAAGTCTGAAAGGGTCAAGTACAAAAAAAAAGTAGAGTCCCAAAAAGTTCTGAATCCCTCATTCTGCGAGTAGCAGTTCTGAAATGACAGTGTGTGTCTACACGGGATGAACAAATCAGCAAAAGTATCACAGAGACTGAGAGCCACGCTTCTCATCCTGGGAGAAGAAATCACAAATAAGGAAAGAGGGGAGTTAGACTGCACGGTGTGGTGCGGAATGGATTGAAAGGTATCAGGACGGCTCGTTTCTTTCCAACCCGGCCCGGCAGAGTGGCTCCCGCAAGGCGGCCTGGCGAGAGGAAGAAGGGCTGTTGTGCCGTCCGCGAGGTGGTGAGCACAGGACACGCCATCTCCACGCACACGCGCGTCCGGGAGTGGGGGTCAGGAAGTGTGCCCAGCGGGACCCAGAGAACCCGGATTTGCCCTCGAGGAAATGGGAACCCCAGGTGGGCGCATTGCCACCGGACTCAACAAAGCTGCCCGATCCAAAGGAATAAGAAAGGTCCCGTTCGCTATCCAGGTGCCGTTGTCCAGAAAACGAGATGAGGATGAAGATTCCCCGAACCAGCTCTGTATGTTGGTCACCGATGTACCTGCCACCACTTCCAAAAATCTACACAGTTCATGTGGCTGAGAACTAACTGCTGATTGTCAAATAAAGTTATAAATCTGCAAAAAAAAAAAAGGATCAGTATAAATTCCAGATTTTATGATACATACAAATGGATAGATAGAGAAGTATGTATATTAGTATACTCATATATTTTTTCTTTTTAAATATATTCTTATTGATTTCAGAGAGGAAGGGAGAGGCAGAGAGAGATTGAAACAGCAATGATGAGAGAGAATCATGGATCAGCTGCCTCCTATACACCCCACGGGGGATCAAGCCCGCAACCTCGGGCATGTGTCCTGACCCCGGGAATCAAACCGTGACCTCCTGGTTCATAGGTCGACGCTCAACCACTGAGCCACATGGGGCCGGCAGGCAATAGTGACTCTTTTTAAATCATAACTTCCCTAGGGAGAAACTTCTCTGCCCCTCCCCCCGTGGGAACGTCCGCCCTGGCCTCTGTTCCTGTGAGCCCCAGGTACCCAGAACCCCACATCCCCACCTGCTGGGCCCCGGCTGCCTGTTTTCCATGGGCTGAGCCATTCCCAGTTCTCTGGATTCTGAGGTTCTCTCCAGCCCTCTTCCCCTCCGCCCTCCATCACTGGCCGTCTGTCCCTCCACGGCCCTCTCAGCCCTAAACATAGCACCGTCCTTGGGGGCATGGTCTCCTGGGTGGTTTCAGAACAGGCCTGGGTGAGGACGGGGACACCCCAGTGCTGCCGGCAGGTAATGGAACTGGGTGCTCGGGGAGGCTGGCGGCTAAAAAGTCCTAATGGGGGCAGTGTTTTCCAGGGCGGGACCCTTCTGCTAGCCCCCCACCCAGATGGCTGGCTGAGTGAGCAGCCCTCAGAAAGGCTGGAAGAGAAAGGGGTGGGGGCGAGGGGAGGGAGGCTGCCTTGCTAAAAATACCGCCCATCTGGGTTGTGTTAACTGGTTTCCCAGGAAACCACTGGGAACCAGACGCTGGGGCATGGCATGGGGATGCAGGGACCTGGGGCCTGGGTGGGCACGGGCCTCCCGGCCTGGCCTCTGGGGGTGAGGCTCTCCCGGGGGCTCCCCCGCTCTCCTCCTTCCAGGAGGCTGGTGACCAGCAGCTCCCAGCCCAGCATCCGCATATGCCAACTCCAAACTGGACTCGCGGGGTCGAGGCATTGAGGCGTCATCTTTGTACCGCTCCGGAGAGCTGAGGCTCCGAGCTTCTGGCGGAGGGAGGAAGCCCAGAGAAGGCCTGGAGCTGCAGCCTGGTCTCGCGACAGCCCTGCCTCAGAAATGGGTCCCCTCCCCGGGCCCCAGGCAACCACTGGGCCTACTGCCCAGTCCCTGGGCCTCCCACAGGGAGAAGCCAACGCAGCGGGGTGGGCAGGGGTGGGATGTGGCAGGGGAACGGGGTGTGTGTTTGGACCAACCAGGCCTGCAACAGAAATACGTGCTCTTGACTGGAATCGAACCCGTTACCCTTCAGTCCTCGAGCCAACGCTCTAACCATTGGGCAAAACTGACTAGGTCTTGCTTTTTTTTTTTTTTTTAATGTTGTTTGTCCCTGATTTCAGATCCCAGGCCGCCGTGTTCAGTCTTCCACCGGAGATAATGCCCGTTAACGTGAGGATATACATCCTCCCAGGCTTTTCTGTGGGGCTGTTTGTAAAGGGTGTCCCAAAACTCACGCAAGATTTGAATTTTGCGTGAGCATTAACAACAACAACAACAACAAAAAATAAAAGCCTAATTTTACTTGGTTTATTGAATCAGATTCTAATATCTGTTGCCCTTTGATTTCAATCCCTTCAATTTGATAAGCATTACCAAGTACCAATTATGGCCCAGGAGCAGGGACAATGAAGACCAATGAAGACCGCAGCTTTGCATATGTGCCAGCAAAGCCGTGGAGGCCATTTACCCGATGTGCTATTCCATACATAACCCTATACTGTATACTTTATGAATCAATAAAAAATTTACAATTTTTAATTATAAACCTGTGTTTTCTATCAAAATTACTTCTTGCGTGAATTTTGGGACACCCTTTATTTCTCGTCATTTGGATAAGATTGTATGTTTTATCATTGCCTTTTCTGTTTATTGTGACACAGCATTTTCCCGTTAGTAAAAAAGTCGCTGACCCGTCGTTTGTCCTAATTCCCTATTCCTGGACACCTCGAGTCTTCCCGTTTTCCTCTCATTTCATAAATGGTGCTGTGGTGAGCGTTCCTACAGATCAAATCATTAGGTCCCTCTCTGGGCTCCTTAAGAAATTTCTCCCAGGGAGAGGATTGCTGAGTCCGAGAGTATGAAGCTTTTAAATAATTGTAATTCATCCTGCAAAGCTGCCCTCCGGCAAGATGTATCCTTTTATACGCCCACGAGCAATATAAGCAAAGTGCCGGCTTCAGAACACCTCAGCCAGCACTGCAGACTGCCAGGGCCACTGGCCAAAATACGGGGTCTGGTTCTCATCTGCTTTTCTTTAACTTCTAGTGAGCTTTCATGTTTTCTCACGTATTTATTGGCCAATGTTAATTTGTTCAAATATATTTTTATTGATTTCAGAGAGGAAAATAAAAACAGCAATGATGAGAGAGAATCCTTGATCGGCTGCCTCCAGCATGCTCCCCGCCCCCCATCTCTGGGGATCAGGCCTGCAACCCTGGCATGTGTCCTGACCAGGAATTGATCCATAACCTCCTGGTTCAAAGATGGACGCTCAAACCACTGAGCCACGCCTGGGGGCAATGTTAGTTTTTTATGCATGCCCAGGGCCCCCGCCAGGGAGGAGCCTGCAACCGAGGTACGTGCCCTTGACGGGAATTGACCCCGGACCTTTCAGTCCGCAGGCCGATGCTCTATCCACTGAGCCAAACTGGTTAGGGTGAAACATGTTTTAACTTTTAAGAGATTTTTCACAGAGAGGAAGAGAGAGGAATAGAGAGTTAGAAACATCCATCAGCTGCTTCCTGCACACCCCTCACCCGGGCGGCACATGCCCCTGACCGGAATCGAACCCGGGACCCTTGAGTACGCAGGCCGATGCTCTATCCACTGAGCCAAACCGGTTAGGGTGAAACATGTTTTAACTTTTAAGAGAACAAATACTACCGTGACATCCAGAGCCAAGCAGGGAGCCCTGCAGAAGGAGCCTTGCTGCCCTGCGAGGTGCAGCGCTGGGCCCACGCTTGGGGACCGGGGATGGAGCCGGAGGTGGGGCCCTGGCTCCTGCCGCAGCCCGGGCTCGTGCTGGGAGCGTCAGGGCAGGGACCGGGCGCCCCGCCGCAGCAACCCCAACCTCGTCCTCCCCCCTCCCAGGGCTCCTGCTCCACGACGTGACCATGGCCGGGCTGCAGGAGCTGAGGTTCCCCGAGGAGAAGCCGCTGCTCCGGGGCCTGGACGCCGCCGAGCTGGTGAGTCGCCCCCTCGTGGCCAAGAAGGGAACCGCGTGTCTTCCCTCCGGTCTTGCCCCCCTGACCCTCCAGGGAGCCACCTGGGAGCCTAGTCCCCTCCTGGGGGGTGTCCAGTGCGACTGACACCCAGCCAGCCTCGCTGCGGCTCTGTCTGTCTTTGCGGCCGGGAGGCTCTTTTTTAAAATTTTAATATATTTTTATTGATTTTGAGAGAGAGAGAGAAAAAGGGAGAGGAAGAGAGAGAGCAACATCGATGTGAAAGGGAAACATCGATCGGCTGCCTGGGATGCTCTTGAGAAGTATTATCCCCATTTCACTAATGAGACCACTGAGGCACAGAAAGGTTAATTCACTGGGCCAAGGGCACACAGCGATCAGGGGATGAGGCTGAACTTCACCCCTGGTTCCGGGAGGCCCAGGAGGGTACCCGCGGGGCAGTGCTGGGTCTAGCAGGGCACAGCGCTTCCCCACCTGCTGGGCCTTTCCTGGTCCCCAGCTTCTCTGTCTTTTCTGCGCCAGCTCTGAGGTTTGAGGGCACGTGTCACCAACAGGGTGCCTCCAGGGGCAGTGGGACCGAAGCACCTGAGGTGGTTATTTTGTCCCATGAGGCCTCGGGTTAGATTCCAGAGTTATTTCTACCCTTTACTTCCATTGAAAGTGGAAGAAAGAGGGAAAGACAGAGAGAAACATCGATGTGAGAGAAACACATCAATTGGTTGCCTCCGGCACGAGCCCTGACCAGGGCCTGGGCCAAGGAGGAGCCTGCAACCAAGGTACGTGCCCTTGACCGGAATCGAACCCGGGATCTTTTGGTCCACAGGCCGACACTCTGTCCACTGAGCCACACCGGCTAGGGCTACCCCCTACGTTCTTGTGGTGGTGACGCCTGGCACCCTTCCCCTCCCTGCAAGGAAAAGCTGTGGGTCCACGCTCATAGATTCCACACCGTGTGGCCTGTGGCTCGGCCTCTCTGAGCCCCACCCTTCCCTCCTGTCGAGGGAGCCCTTCACGTTTTCCATGAACAGGGACATGGATGTGAGTAGCTGCTCATAGGCTCCTCCGCCAGGCACTTATAGCTCCACGCCCGGCCCTTGGGAAGCCCTGGGTCACTTTCGTTAACATAAAGGTGAATGGGGTCCTGGCCGAGGTGGCTCAGTTGGTTGGAGTGTCATCCCTTGCACCAGAAGGTCTCGGGTTCGATTCCCTGTCAGGGCATATGCCTAAGTTTCGGATTCAGTTCTGCTCTAGTGCATGCAGGAGGCAACAGATCCATGTGTCTCTCCCGCATCGATGTTTCTTTCTCTCTCTCTCTCTCTCTCTCTCTCTCTCTCTCGCTTAAAAAAAATAAAGAAT